TTTATTCTTTTTTAAACACTTTACATTAAAAATGTTCGTGATTCTCTGAAATTCAGCTAGTATTTTCCGCGTGCATGTTTCTTCTGTTTTTATTTGGTAGTAATTTTTTTAGGAATAAGTAGTTTGCCTCGTCTTCTTTGTAGAGCTGCCCTCGTTTTTGACTTCGGTTTTTTGTTTTTTTGCCAATTTTTCCTTTTAGTGATAGTTCTTTTTTGTTCTTCTTTTTTCATTTTATTTCTCATTTGTTCTCTGCTTCTTTTTTTGCTAGACTTTTTCGGTTAACTAGCTTTTTTCGTGTACCCCCCTTTGGTATTTCTCTTCCCTTTGCATCTCATCTTCTCCTTCCCCTTCTAGGAAACTTCGTCTTTTCTTTGTTTCTCCTTTCTTCATATCTCCTATCTTTTTTCGATCTCTTCTCCTGCATCTCTTCCTTTTTTCAGTTTCTTGCGCTTCTCCTTTTTATTTTTCTATTTGGTCTTCTTCTTTCCTTCCCTATTTAATTTTCCTTTTCCTCCACCTCTTCTCATTTCCTTCTTCTCTTTTTTTGTTTTCTTATATTTACTCATATTCATCATTAACCTTCTTCTATTTCTTATTTCATCCTGCTAATTTTGTGCACCTGAAATTTTCATCCAAGTTGTGTCAATTGCTGAATTACATATTACTCCCTTTTACTATCATTAATTTTTCCGAGTGTACTTTTTTGTAATTGCAATTAATTGTTATAAATTTAAAGTGGTTTTTAAGTACATTATTTTATTCTTCAATTTTTCACTTTCCTCTCTCTCTCTTTCTCTCTACTTCATTCTACTAAATAGCTATAAGTACAACGTTATTATTTTTCACAGTGTATATGTGTATAAGTAGTAGCTAAATTCTTTCTAAAGTTATTTGATTAGTAAAGTATTTAGTTTTTCTTATATTCCTCATTTGTTTCGTTCAAAAGATTTTCCAACTATGATTTTTCTGTAGATTTTGTTTCGCATTTTGCCTCACTACGCACTAATTTAAGGTACTTATAACTCCATTTATTTAAAGTTGTCTCTTGAGTGGTTACATGGTATGTAGTTTGCGGTGAGTTCGTTTTTTTTTTTAAGTCATGAGTAATAAGTATTGCGAGTACTCGTACTATGTATTTACTGGTTGTAGATGTACTTATGTTTTTTTAGCTGCATTATGTAGTTAGTGATATGTAACATATTTGATATGTACTATTTATAGAATATTTTTGTTTTGTTTGAAATGATTATTTTTTTCAATACTTTCGTTTGCAAAAAGTTTTTTCTCTTGATAACGTTGGGCTTGGATTTCTTGATTTAAAAAAAAAAATCAACTACTGTTTTAATTACTAAATTTTCATGTTTGTGCTTTTTATTTAAGACTTTCTGTCCTCCTTTTAAATAAAACATATAATTTTTATTTCTTTGTTGTGTTGCCGTTTCTATTTCATGTATGGTTTTGTTTTTTTTCATTTGATAATCTGCTTTCAGTATTTCTATTTTTTGACCTTTATAACCTGTTTTTGGTATTTATCTCTATTTTCTGATTTATTTTATAAAAAATATACGGTTATCAGCTGTTTACATATTTCGTTTATCTATTGCAAGCGATGTTTGATTTTATAAGCTTTTCTTCTACTTTATATTTTCTTTTTGCATTTTGAAATTTCCCTGTTCTAGCGAAGCATTTTACCGTTTCCTTTGCTGTTCTTGCTAGACAATGTCATCCTTCCTTTTCATAAATTTAAATTTACTGCTAGTATACCGATTATTATGCAGTATATGTACTTTTTTATTGTTTTTTTTTTATTACTGCTTTGTTTCGTTAGTATTTCATAACACTGAATCTTTTGCCTCAATACTCAATTTATGGAATACGAATAAATTTTTAATATAGACTAGGGTTTCAATCTGCACTACATTGGAGTGGTCGATGCTGTTATAATGATTTCAATGGTGTTGACAGTTAGTTTAGATTAAAAACTTCATAAGTGGGGAATAAAAAAATAAGTGAAAATAGTCAATATAAATATCGAGCCCTAACTTGGTCGGAAACTTTATTTTGGAACGTACTTTAAGGTGAAAGAACGAACTTCCGGTCCATTTGACCCACTTTAGGTCGAAACTGGAAGCCCGAAATACGACCAAGAATAGAGCAATAGAAAATACATGCCTCCATTCTAGAAGTCCAGGGCGAATTGAAGTTTGAAGGTCATTAAGAAGTTGAAAAGGCACTTCCGAGAAAAGAGTGTCTAAGAAAAGTTTTGTGTTTTTAACCGCAAATTTCGACTCTTTAATAAAAACGTACGTACATTTCGCATTTAAAAGGATGGTCTTTCGGTATGTTTAACCCACTTCTAGTCCAAACTGGAATTCGGTAATACGACCAAAAGATAGAGCATCCTCGACTTGGAAATATATTTTTTTGCGTTTTCCAATTAAACAAACAAAAAAATTTTTTCTCCCGTTAAGAAGTAGTGGACGGAAGATCAAGGACACCCGGTATAGCTCAATAGGAGTGTATTAATATAAATAATTAATGTAGTCATATTAAATTTCCTGCTCACAGAGAGTAATGATAATTCGAAAAATAATTTGAAAAGGAAAATAAAAACATATTTGTCCTAAAATATATTTCTGTGGGACTGTAAACTAATAAATAATTATTTATAATAGTAAATTCAGGTATATGGCATTTTTTAATAAGGTATAAAAGTTATCTAATTCTAAAATCAGGTGATTTAAACGCATTCACTTTAAAATATATTCTTAAATATGTTTTTTTTTTGTGAACTGGGTTGTCCAGCATGAAAATTTATAATTCTTGTTTTAAATTTAAAATAAATTTTTATTAATTTTTTAGTATTATTTTTTATTGAAAAATGCTTAATAAATTAACCAACTGTCAAACCATATAAAATCATGGAATTGGTTTGGGTCAGTTAGTATGTAAACAGCAACAAGCACTCCTTCAATGTCAAGTTGATAGAGAGTCATTAAAAAAACAAAATTCCTTAAAAAAGTGAAACCAAAACGATAAAGAACAGCCATTACTTACTAGAAAAATTTATAGCGCTGAAAAATTAGCCTCTTTAACCTATGATTATTTTTTTTTTTTAATTTTTTATGTTTGTAACGAACAGTGAACTATAGCCTAGTATATGAATTTTACGCGCTTAATTACAGCTTCGCCTATGCCGCGCAGTGCTTTTTGCAGCTCACTTCGTGCGCAAGCGCAAATGTGATAGTTTAACTTTGCTTTCTTTTGCTTATACATACATGTGTCTATTTTATGCATTTATATAGGTTATAATTTTGAATTTGAATTTGCATTTCAGTTTTTTGTTTTGTTTTGATAGAGAAATGCGTGCTAAAGTAACTTTTAATGGCTTCGTATGTTGGTTTTGTGTTTCTTAATTCGGTTTTTATTTGTCAATTCAGGGTTCTCGTTTTGTAAGTTTTAGGTTTTTTCTTTGCTTTTAACGCCTTTTTCGCTCATGTGTGTACGCATGCGCTCGTTGGGCAGCGAACTTAGTTTTTTTTTTGGTTTTCCAGTATATTCGGTAGAGATTTTTGTGATTAAAAAGCTTATTTATTTTTTCTCTTTTTCAATTGGTTTTTTTTCTTTTACATTATTTTATTTTTAACATTTTTTATTGAAATATGTTTTTTTTTCTTCACCTTATTTTATTTTATTTTTTATATAGCATTTTAGTTTATTTTATTTTATTTAAAATTTATTATTTTATATTTTATTTTATTTTAATTTATTTTATTTTATTTTATTTTATTTTATTTTATTTTATTTTATTTTATTTTATTTTATTTTATTTTATTTTATTTTATTTTATTTTATTTTATTTTATTTTATTTTATTTTCTTTTA